AAGTACTGGATGAACGAATACACCTCATCCATAGGAATTGGAGTTTTTCATTCAGGAATTGAAGTCTATGGCAGAGGTACGTGTACACACAGCCTAAATATACTTTCCGAAGATTTTGTACTTTAATGAAGATTCAAAATAATTGTAATTCTCTTATTTTTTATTGAAACAAATGACAAATTTTTATTACATGAGTTAATTTGTTTGTCCAAGCACAAGGATAATGAAATATATTTTCCATGGAAAATATTATATACATTAAATAACATTCAGTGGTAACAATGCAGTGTAGGTTTCCTGGGAAGCAGACTCAGACAGAAATATACAAGCAGGAAGTGTATTTACTGGGCAGTGCTGTCTGGATGAGGACCAGGGAGGGGAAGAATGAAGCAGGGTAGACAGAGCAAGAAGTTGAACTGTCTCTCTTAGAGTCCTAACAAATGTTTCAGTTGATCCCTTGAGGAACCTGTGAATTTGGGAAAGCCTCTCAAAGATGTCTGAATTGAGGCGATGGCCAGTCTTTGGATATCTGCTGCCCCACAAACATGAACCTTGAGTGAGAAGACTCTCTTTAGCCAGGGGCAATTTGCAGAGAAGAACTCAGCAGAGAGCAGCTAACTCCCTATAGTCCCAGTAGCTGCGGGAAGGAGTGCTTCAGTCTCATAGGGGTGGGGGAGTGTGAGAATATGGGAAGCACATCATAGCATGTAATTCTCTTTTTTTATCACTTCCATGTTATTACAGGAAGTAGAAGAAAATATACCCATATTTGTTTATAGCACATTTTAGAAAAATCTCCAAAGCAAGATGTATTTGGGGAGAAAATACTTGAAAATACCAGAGTATACATTTATTCAGTTATCTTTTTTATTTAAATACTGTCTTAAAAAGTATTTCCTTTTGATACTATTGTACCAAGACAGCTTGTTTTGATCTCATATATATTCCTAAGAAATCTATTTGGAAAATAACATGATAAAAACAATCATTTTGGTTGGAAAGGGTTTGGTGCTGTGTAGTATCAAACCTGAAATACCAATTTCCTGATGGAGTTTTAGTAAAAAATTGGTTTTTGTAGACCTATCAGTATGTGTTTAAAGTCTAAAACCATCACTTAACAAAGCCTGATGTCCACTACCTGTTGCTTTTTCTCAAGAATGATGTCCTTTCTTATTAACTCGGCCCTTTTAATACTTGTTACTTTTACTGCCTTTTGTTATGCTAAGTATGTTAAGAGCCGCTCAAACTGAGCATATTTTCAACATTTTCTTTTGTTCTGATTCTCACTCTTGGTGCAGAGTAATCTGTTCTTGATCATGTTGTAACTAGCAGTGGTCTGCCTAAGACTAATCATACAGCTCATTTCAGCAGGGTTGTGCTGACATCATTTTGAATCATAACCTATAGCAGAAGTGTCTTGTTTGCTTCAAGGGGCAATCTTTGTGATCTCTTTGAATATACTATTGTAGTTCACTCAGAGTTATCCCTGAAACAGGGGTGGCGCCTGTGGCTCACAAGGGTAGGGCGCCAGCCCCATATGCCAGAGATGGTGGGTTCAAACCCAGCCCTGGCCAAAAAAAAGTTATTCCTGAACAATACAAATCAATTTTAGTTAATATAAAGAAAACGATCGGATTACTTACATGTGCCAGTGTGATGTTCATACTGTCTTTATATTCCATGCTAGCTCCTGGGAACACAGCACACATGTTAAAACACGTTAAGTGTTGGTTATAAAGATTTGCC